TGGTTTTCCCCCAGGTCATAGTGGTAGGAACCTCGGAGAACTCTTGTCTATCCCTACATTATGGCAAATAATTGAATAAATGTTACCTATCAACCCCATGCCATTGCAGAAAACTCAAACCTCCGTCCTTCATGCCAAGACGTAATGGCTAAAAGCTTTCCCTGGCTGCTGATCTGCAGGCGGTTGGGTGAGAGGCGAGGTGTCAGCACAATAACAGCCTCGCCTGGCCGTAACCTCCAAGAAAAGCAGTCCCATTGATTTCAGCAACACTCCTCTTAAAATAGTGCCCAGGAGGCCTGCTGCCTGCGGATGGAATTTGCAGTATTGAACCCACAGAAAAAGGATATAGTGAGAGCATTTTGCCACACACTTAGCGATTCACTGGCCAGGCTTTTTCCTGTTTTCCACTGTAACATAACTGTTAGTTTTAACAAAAACGTTTTGTCTAAGGCAGAATAATTTCTTTATAGCAGTGAAGTGAGGTTTTGTTCACAGCTCTTTATTTCTGTGCATGTGTAAAGTTGATGAACTTCCTCTGCTGGATAAAATTATCCATCATGAAAATACAATGAGAAAAGTTAAGAATTCTGATATTTTGGAATTGTTGAATATTTCTGTTTAATTATGCAAGATGCACACATGTGATATGCATATTTATACAAGTATATACGTATCTATGTAAATGCATGTACCTATTATTCCTTTTTTCACTGTTGTACATCCATTTTCTACTGGGAATTTCCATACCTTGTGAAATAAACACTTCAAATTCAAAGAACAGTACACTGCATTATAGTTAAATACCAATATCATAAAATGACTATATGGGGTAGCTGTGTAAGTTAAATAAAAATATATTAAAAATTATGTAAATAAAATAGTTACTTAATTTTTAAAACAGAAGCACAGTATAGAACAGTGGGTCCATTAAGCATTATTTTACTGTTCTGACAGCAGGTTGATTTTTATTTGATTTAAGAATTTATACAGCCCTTCAATAGTAGTGTCAGGGGTTGGGGTTCACTCAGGTAAATAAGGGGTTTTTAGGGCTCTGCCTAGAACCAGCAGGCCGGGTCACACATGAAGATTCCCTCATTCTCTCTGACTGATCTCACTCACAATCAGCCTGACTCAAACTAAATGGCACTAAAAGCCCTGCAATACCAAAATGGAAACTTTCTGGAAACTTTCACTGAAAGCTGTAATTCCTTTAGTCTTGTAAAAACTGTCCTAGAGTAGAAGTGGAAAGGAGTCTTTAGACGAGCCTTACTATTTTGATGTCTATGGATTTGACTTGAGTGAAACTTTCCCCAAGTGTTGTGTTTGAAGCTATTTGTTAGGCACTAGAGAATGGCTCTTGGTTTAAGGCTCTTCACCCTGCTTTGCCGGTAGAGGGGACAGAGATAACACACCTTCTTTATCAAGAATAAATGCCTACAAGTTCGGGGCGGTCACCTTATAATGGTGTGCTGACTTAAGGAAATGTCATTAAAACAAAACAAAACAAAACAAAAAACAGAAGGAGCAGAAAGAGCAGTGCTTTATCTGGCAACTCTTCTTCCAAGACGAATGATGAAGACTGGGGCTTAGGAACATAACACTCCACCTTGAAAAATAGGAAAGGAGCATGGCAAAGCTACATTTCAAATAAAGGAGCTTCAAACAAATAAAAACTGTAAGTTTAGGGAACAAAATTTCATACAGTTATTTTTCTATCCCTCCTTGTGCTTATTCCTATAGGTGCATAATTCGATAAGTCACCAAACAAACGTTACTTATTGCACACTATATTTTGAGCAACTGGAATCCCTGAAGGAATTTACGTCCAAACTCTCTTATTCCCTTATGCATTTCAATGATGAGAATCAAAAGCAACTATTTTTACTTTTTTATTATTTTTTTTTTATTATTTTATTTCCACAGGCATGAAGATTGTTGTGAGAATACCTGACAGCTTTTGAAAAGTATAAATAGAGACAACGGAGAGGAAATAAGTGCCTGTCTTGTACTTCTGCTGGATATACTGGGCTCCTAGCCAACTTCTAAATTGAAGCCAATGGCATTGCATAGGGCATAAGCCAGTGCAGACTTTATTCTTGCAATTTTCTACAAATTGCAGGGTAGGTAAAAAATAGATTTTGTGCTTTGTAATCTTTGCACATGTACTTTGTATTTCAGAAGAATGGGAATAAATCTCTGTGATCTAATCACTTCATAGCTGAAGTTTACCTATTCGTCACTACAATTTCTTTCAGTTGTTACACTGAGACACTTAATAGAAAGGATTAAAAATATTGAATTGCCTCTGAGTCAGTGAGCACAGCCGAGCTTTAAGTCACCTATGTACCAGCTGCATACAGTACAATGTCATAACATTGCAGCCATCACCAGCCTCCAAATGAAGGAGGTTTTGCTTTAAATAGAGGAATTAGAGATGCCTACATTTAGGTTTCCATACACATAAGGTGTAGACATATGCTGGGTACAGAGGGATGAAAACTGACTTTGCCATCTCGTGCCGATAAGTGGTGGAGCTCTTCATCTCTTGGTTCTCCACGTGCATACTCCAAAACTTTCGTGAACTGTGTCACTTAACAGAGCGCACTTGGCTATTTTTAACAGTTTGTATCTCAGCTTACACAAAAATATTTCTTTATTTACATGATTTTCTCCTCACTAAATTGCAAATATCAGACAAATTAGAGGTTCTCAATAGTAAAGCTGCAGTCATCTTCCATGATGGAAAATATGGTAATCTAAAAAACGAGGTTTGCTACCAGACTCCAGTACAATGTATTCCCTTTTAAATATAATCATGTTTTTTCATTTCTTAGGTCTTACTATCACAACAGGTGGCTGTTCAAACCCTGTTGGGGAGGCTGCAGAGAGTACTTGAAAGTGAAGGTGGATCAGACTGCTGAATGCCGCGCAGTTTTCATTTGACCACCCTCTGCACGTGTTACGAAACAGCTTGTGATCACATGGCTTTTTGCTTGTAAAACCAGCACATCATTTTTGCAAACAGCTTTTCCACGTGCAGTGCAATGGCAGGCCACATCCTGGAGTCCTGTAGCGAGCTGCCACAATCACAGTCATTTTGTCAGGAGCAGAAATGCCAAATCAGGACCGCAGCGGGGGAGGGCCGGCATTGTGCTGGCTACTGTCAATTGTCTTGTATTAACTCCAGTAGAACACTGTTAAGTGAAAATCATCCAAAAAAATGTATGAATAATTGTGAATGGAGTACAGATTGAAAAGATTCTGGCTCGTGCAGCTGCAGAGTGTGTGACCTATCAAGGATTTGATAGGAAAAAGTTGCCAAGGGAATTGTAAAGCATTGTTTGTAGCTGACTTCAGCTTTTATTGTTGTACTCTGATTACAGCTTTTGTTTCACTGTAAAGTACAGTTGTTAAATGCCAGCTTGAAACAAAGATGTATTTACACGCAAGAACCGAGTTCAAATGAATTCTATTTTTGGAGATATCACTGCTTTGCACTAGGAAAAAAATATTACTATTTTGGAAAGCACTACAAATTTTAGTATAAATTTAGTATGTGCTTCAAACAGAAATAGATTCCCATTCAGACTGGTTAAATATCATTACTGGAAATTGTAATGTGCCACTAGGAAAATAGTGGCTGATGGCTTCAAAAAGGCTTTGAGGTGGCATCTGAACTGACAAGCCTTGGAGGAATCTCCGCACGCCCAAACAACTAGTTCTTTCCTACTGGCCCCTCTCCATTAAAATTAATGTTAAAATCAGAGTAATTGCATGTCAAAAAAAAAAAAATTACTATAAGCAGTAAAACGTGTATTTGTGTAATGGCTGATAGCTCATGCTTTCTCCTGTGTATGCCTGGTACATAGGCCTGAAGTTGGCACGAATTTTAGAGCCATAACTCCCACAGAACCTGGTCCACAGGACACTGCAGTCTGTAGTGCAGCTCTCCAGGTCACGCCACCGTTGTGTTCAACACCAATGACTTGCATATTCCCTGTCTCAATTCCCCTCGGACGAAATGGCTGCAGCATCGTTTATAGCACTGTAACCACTGCGGCTCTGCCTCACGTGGCGGCGATGTACCCGTGGGGTTCAGATCAATGCGTGCTGCTGGCCACAAGGCTGGACAAAAGCACTGCATCACCCTGCTGTGCTGCTGTAATTATTGTATGTAGTTATTGTATGAATCCTTCCCTTTTTAATGGGACAGAGGATTGTATTCACTGCCCCTTGAAAGACTTTACAAGAAGTATTTACAGTACTAAAGAGTGTCAGTACTCTGTCTTGCCAACTATATTTGAAAAGAGCATGTAGTTGCCGTATGAACTAAACTGAAGAGCATGGAGAAAATGAAGGAAACCAAATCTTTTGCCATTTGCTACACTGCCAAATCCATTTCTTAAACTGAACTCAGCTGCTCTTTATCAACGGTTTGGGCAACGCCTTGTGGCTGGCTTTGAGGATCCGGCCCTCAGGAGTGTGGGCACCATGAAATGTTGGTAATGTTACGGGGAGATGTCAGTAATGTCATGGGGAGATGTCAGTAAAGTCACATGGAAATTTTGGTAAAGTCACGTAAAAATTTTGGTGAAGTCACATGGGAACGTTGGTAATGTCACGGGAAGAAGCAACTTCCCCGTCGGTGCTGCACACCGAGTGGCTTTGTAGCAAGCACGACACCACTTTGTGAGGCGCCTTGGATCAGTGTGTGGGCTCCATGGTGTCGGGGAATTTGGTGCTCGCACCCTGGGGTGCTGTGGCTCTGTCAGTGCCAGCACCACACCGCAGTGATGTTTGAGCCCAGAGCGCACAGTACTGCTGCTTGTGAGGAGGATACCCCCGCATTTCTTCAATTACCACCCCAAACCACACACACACAGCCCCACCACATCGATTTCAGCCCCTCAGAGCCACCTCAGGGCTCAGGACTACGCCTCCCGTCAGGCGCCGCCGCCTCCCTCCAGCCCCCAGCAGCTCCCAGCGCCGGGACCGCGGCGCTTGCGCGGGGAGGAGCCGGGGCCGGGCGGGGCCGCCAGGGGCCGGGAGCGGCGGCGGGACCCGGAGCAGCACCGGGACGGGACCGGGACCGGCAGCGGAGCCAGAGGGACCCGGAGCCGGACCCCGACCCCCGCCTCGGCTCCTCGCGGGGCTCCTGTGAGTGCCGGGGCCGGGCCCCGCGGGAGGCGCGTCCTTGGGCTTCCTCCTTCCCTTCCCCCCCCCCGGCCTTTGTGCGGGGCCGTGCCGGGCCCGGGCTCTCCGCGCTAACGAGGAGGGTTAATTACTAATTAATTAGGGCCTGGGGAGTGCTGTGGGGGGGGCTCTTCGCCCCCTCAGGGGTCCCTGTGCCCTTCCTGGTACCCGCTCCCACACGCACTCACGGAGCCGGGTGTGTGCGGTGAGGCGCCGTGAGGTGTCAGAGCAGCTGTGGAGCCCAGCAGGGCTTTTATTTTATTTTATTATTATTATTTATTTATTTATTTTTAAATCCACTTCCTTTTTATGTCGTTGGGCTGCACTCGGTATGATGCAGCACAAAACCTGCACTGAGACGGGGCTGCCTGATGGATGAGTTACTCTTCCTGCTGTATTTTTAAGGATTTTATTTTTCTCCTTTTGGTTTAAAAGCTGTTACGAAGCTCCAGGGCTTGTATCAGCTTATTTCACAGGTGCAGCTTCCCAGCAAACCGAGCAGTGCAGTTATCCATGGGAAGGGTTCTTCCTCCAAGTTTAATCCTTTATTTTCGTGGTGCACCGCGTTGGATGAATTCACAGCAATTCACCAAGTCTTAACAGCGAATTTGTGACTTGCCTTGTAGGCCCCTGCCGTTCTGTGTCCTGTTCCTGGTAATTACTCGCTGCTCTAGAGCGATACCGAAGTCGCTGTCAGGTTTGTGAGGCGGAGAGGTGTGCCCGGCCTGCTTTCCTGTTTGTCACATCAGTGAGCTTAGGAAGTGGGCTGAAGGCTGTCTCAGCACAGAGACGTCCTTAGCCCTGTTGGTGTTTGGAGGAGAGCCTTGTAATGCGGGGATAAAGAGCACTGATACTGCAGAGAGTGATAACTCCAGGGAGGGAGCTGTATCTGTGTGCTGTGATAGAGCTGGCACTTGGCTGTGAGCAGCGAATGCTGGGTGTAAAGAGTAAGGCTTTTGGTGAATCTCTTTGTTTGCAGTTACTCAGTGTTGCTAGTTTGGTTTGTTACTGTAGGAAAACTTGATTTTGAGTGAGTTGTGAAGATGGAGTCTGTTTTCTGCAGCTCCTTCTGTGTTACATAGCTAGAGTTGGACAATCTTTTGTGTGTCTGTGCGTTTGGGCATTTCAGAGGTGGAAATAGATGTGCAGTAGGTGACTAACAGGTAGATCGCAGTGCTTAAGGGTTTAGGAAGAACAGATGCTTTCATCTAAATCGGAGGATCTACAAAAGAAGAAGTAGCATATAAAGAAAATAGGAAACATCTTAATGCTTTTTTTACTTCTTCCTTCTCTCCCCCTGTATTTGTTCTTCCTCAGGAGCAGTAACCAAGCGATAGAGAGAAGACAGGCACACATGTGGAGTATAAAGGTGTGTCTGTGCAGGGGGGAAAAACCCAGATGCAAGAGATGGCCTTGGTTTTTCCAAGCAGCCGTGCTTCAGAAGACAAGGAAGTCATGCCCCAGGACTAATAAAGGCTGGCTGTATGTCAGAAGGTTAACGTGGAAGAGACAAAGAGCACAAGCTGGGCTTTATTGACTGTAGCAGATTTTAATAATGCCCTGAAGTTTTTTCTAAAGCGCTTATCACTTCTCTAAAGCAATCAGTGCTTGTCATACAGTCTCCAGTGCAGTATTGGACACGGCCCAGAATGCCAGGCCTGCACAATCCTTAATCTGTTTTAGTAGGTTCAGAATTCCATCAATGTCCTTATTGCTAAACGGTTCTGGGTACTCGAGCTGACACTTATCATACCGCGTGCAGTCGCTTCGAAATGCAGCAAACCAGAAGCATGGGAAAGTGAGAATGGGCTAAAAGTGTGAAGTTCCCTTGCGTGTGTGTGGTGCCGTGCACTTTGTGCCCAGCTGTACGGCAGCATTTATCTGAACAGGAGCTTGTGATGCAGGGGAGCGCATCTTTCTGGCAATTCATGTTGTTCCTGATGATTGGGAGCAATAGGAAACATCCTCAGAAAATGCTTGGTGGGATTTTGAGGCAAGGAAACCTTTGTGCAGTTGTACAGTTGCATGAAAGTAGAGGGCAGTAACTTGCTTCAGTGCCAACATAGGTGAGTTCAGGTAACCAGATTTGGCAGAAAACAGTTTTACAAAATGGAGTAAGTAATGCAGATGTCACTAGAAAGCAAGAAGCACGTGTGTGGTTTTCTCATTTTGAACTGAAATGCAGCAAGATGTGGTCGTAAATGCTGCTCTCAGCACTTTAGAAAATAAGGAACCTAAGTATCAAGATTCCAGTGAGCTTGCCTTTTGTGAAGGTAATGTAGCTTCTTTAAAAAGTGATAATAAAGAAATGCGTGCTGAAGAGGTTGGAAAAAGAAGTTCAAGTTCAGGTTTTGAAGTTCTGTGTTACTGCATAAAATGACCGAAGTGAGTTGGGTGGAAAGAGATGGCTGGGCTATTTAAAAAAAAAAAAAAAGGCGTACTGCTCTGAAATGAGGGCTTTGTGAAGCTGTAGGTCAGAGGTCAGCTTGTTCCATGCAGTGGCCTAACCCCGAAACACTCCGATGCTCGCGTCTGGCTCTGTTTTATAAATAACACCTTCCTGTTGGTGCTAGGTACAGCAGCAGGGTTTTGTTGCTGGTAAGGAAGGAAGCTTGGTGCATTGTCTCAGCGCTAAGCAGCCTTTTCTCCCTCCAGGGACTCAGCGAAGCATCTAGAATGTGTAGGTGTTTCTTTAATCTTGGAGAAGGAACTTATTAAGCTTTCTGGTGCAGAACTGTATGAGCCACTTACGCCGAGAGATGTTATCTGCACAGGCAGGGAGTTGCAGGTCTGGTAGACGTTCGCGGCGCTCACCAGTTTAAACAGCTTTCAGGTTTGAACATATGCCTTCGCCTCGAAAAATCTGAATAGTTTCAGGTGTTTTATGGAGAAGAAAGGCGCTTCGATGGTGAGGCTGCTGCTGCGGGACTTGGGGAACAGGTTCAGCTCAGCGCCTTGCCAGCAGCTGCCTGTGTGGCCTGGGCCAGGCTGCTCCTCTGCCCCCTGCTCTCACCAATGCTGCAGAGAAGTGCTGGGTGCTGTGGGGATGTGCTGGGCACCAGTGCTTAAAAACCTGAATGAACCAGGCGAAGCTTTGCTGGTGTGATCCTGCAAAGCTTCCCTGCTCCTCTCTTTGGGAAATGGTTTTTATTCTAGCCAGGCATTGCCTCCGAACGTTTCAGCTACCGGCGTGGTTTATTAGCTCCTGCTGGCACCGTGGGCAGAGTGCCCGAAGCTGGGTTTGATTTATTGCCTTGCAGGTGAAAGGGAATGAGAGAGGATCGGCGTCTGTACCCCTCCCCACCCGGGGTGGGGGTTAATCTGCAGCCACTCCTGCTGTCTGGTGACTTGATGGAGCTAAGAGCATTTGGGATTTACAATTCCTCACGTGGAAATATTACATGGTCTGGTCGCTGTTCTAAACTGAAAGTGCAGGCAAGACGTCACTTAACCAAGCTCTGCAAACGTGAGCTCTCCTTGCCGAGAGCCTACGCCCCCAGGAGCGGCCCCTGTACCGCCAGAGCTGTGATAAATTCATTACCTGAACATGTAATTATTTTGCGTACGCTCGCTGGGGGTGCTTTGGTCCCCATCGCATTTGCATGCCGTGTCCAAGGAGATGTTTGAACGTGTTCAGACCGGTGCCTTCATTACGCGCTCCTCTGTTAAGTGCTAGAACAGTTACATGGCAGGCTTGCTGGCAGCCAGCAGTCCTCTCCACGCTGCGCTTCAAAGGGGGCTGGTAATGTATTGGTTAACTCTTTAGGGAGGATTTTGGTAACAGATGAGAATTTAGGCTGCGCTAATAATTCATCTGGCAAATCTGTTTCTTTAGCTTCAGACGTGTTCCTGCCCTTCACAACTTCAGGCTTGGGCTGTATGAAGCTCGCTGGAAGTGCTGTAGCTCTTTTATTTATACCGCCTTCCCAGTTCGTGTTGGTGCTCTGTTTTTATTTTTCGGGGGGTGGAGGAGCAGGATTTCTTTGTGAAATCCGTTTGTTCCCTTCTTGGGGGAAGCTGAAGAGCCGCCTGCTCGCAGTGAGGCCAGGATTTCCAGGCGTGTCGTTGCACATACCCGGGATTTGGGCTGCTTTGGAGTGTTTCCGTCTCGCCCCGCGCAGGTCACGGGGCAATCCTGCAAGGTGCCAGGAGCCCGGTGGCTTCCTGCTGCTATTGGGATCGCTCTGGGGGTGGAGAGTTGTCCTCCTCCGCAGGCACTGTACTTGCTGCTGTGGGAAACACCGGTGTCACTGCAGGACAAGGTGCAGCAAGCCAGCATTCGCCTCTTTTTGCACGTGCAGAAGGTGAGGAGGGAATTCAGCGAGCAGGCACAGGCTGTGCCTGGCGTGAGGGCAGCTCTGTAGGCTCACGGTTGGAAGGATGCTGGAAAAGAATTGTGTGGGATAAGTTACAGCAAAGTTTGTGCTTCACGTGAAGGGTTTTGCTGCACGGTCATAGCAGAGCAGCTTTTATTTTATGGGGCTTCTCTTCATGACAGAGGAGACTCTTATTGCGAGCAGGGTTTTCTTTTCTTTAATTTAAGAAGTATTCAAAAAGAAAGAAAAGGAAGGCAGTGACCTGAAAACGTTGCCATTTGATGGTCAGAAGAGAAAATTAAGCTTCCATGGTAAACAGGATCTGGCATGTCTCCTGTAAATGAGCGTTGGCTGGCTTGCAGGAGGCAGACAAAGCCTGGCTCTAACTGAAGAGCTCTCGCTGAACTTGCTCGTGCTGAAGATGCTGGAGATTAGTCCCAGCCGCTGCAGCACTGGCATGATTTGGTAAGCAAGGTGCTGGGGGAGTCCCCCAGCCTTTGGAGAGCAGGGTGCTGCCCCTGCAGTGCCTTACACCACGAGCTGAGCATGGTGGAGCCCCGTAATGTTAAAATAAGCCAGGTGAAATCTCAATGGCAACAATTTTTCATCACAAAAGTTTTAATGTGGATGAACCATTGCATTTTGATT